GATTATTTTCGTTTATTTTAATTTATATTATTTGTTTATTCTATTTTATTATATATTATAATTTTCACAAAATCATTATAAGAACAACGTAAAGAAAATTTTTTTTTTATTATTAGAAACATTTCTTAATCTGTTTTAAATATTTTATTATTTTAGTACATATTTGTAATTGTTAGCACTTGTTAGTATTATTACATAATTATATTTGGTCAGATTACATATAATAATTTATATAATAATTATATATAATAATATTTTTTCCAGTATTTCATTATTTTTTTAAATATAATCTGTGTATATTATTATCCATGCATAATACTTTACATATAATATTGACGAATTATTAGCTTTTTTTTTGTTGCTGCAAATGTCAATATTTTTAATAATTAATAATTTCACAATTGTCAAAAAAAAATTGCGCGTTTTCGCTTTTATATTTATCCAGGAATGGAGAAACCAACGTGGACGGTAGTTCAGTTTTCAACAGATAACACTGTTGAAGCAGTACCATCGAGCTGGATTGAACACAACAAATGTTATTGGCCTCCATTTAAATATGAACAGATTATCACAGCAATTCGGAAAAACATGGAACGAAATACATGTTGGCCATGTTACGATATTATAACGTTTCGAAATAGCACTTATGGTGAGTAATATTTTATTATTTTTTTTTTATTTGTAAAAAATATTTAAATTAATATTATTTTTCTAAAATTAAAGTAATATATATTATGGCTATTGCTCATTATAATGTAATATTAATTTGCATAATTTTAGATGATTACAATGTAGCGAGATTAAAAACCAAAAAAGCCGAATACACATCCGCATCCGATTTAAATTCAGAGATTGAGAGCACGAAAAGAAAAAGAATAATAAATCGTCTGTACGTGGCAAGTGACAGCGATGACGATTACGATAAAAATAACAACTACTCAACAAAACAAAAACAAATAAAAGGTTTGTTTCAATAAACAAACATTTTCTCTACTTATTGTGTAAATATTAATGTTTTTATACATATATATTAGTATACTCTTTGTCAAATACACCATATATGTATTACCATATATGTATTATAGTATAGTGTATTTGACATAGTATATACTAATTCATACTTAAAATTATTTTCTCAGAGAACGAAATGGTTAAAAAAAAGACCAGAAGAGCTATATATTCTGAACACTCTGAAGATTCTGAAGAGTCTAATAGCATTCTTCCAAAACATCCGCAAATGACAGGTAGATAAATAAAATAAGTATTCAGTTCATTATTTAGATTATATATAGGTGCATTTAATTAGAATATATATATATAGGTGCATTTAATTTATTGTTATATGTAATTAATTTATTATTTAAATAGTAACATTTTAAAAATTCTTTTTATTTTTCTTTCTTTTTTTTGATCTTTTAAATTTCGAAGTATCTATTAAATTAAATTAGACAGTGTTGAAAATCAAGTATATGTATATATTTTTTTCATATCAAAGGATGTAATTATATAATAAAAATATGTATTTTTTCTTGTTAAACATGATGATTAATCATAAATTAATAATAAATTAATTAATTAATTAATTAAACGCCACGATGGATATAAATTATCTTTTATAATGTAGAATTGTAGATATTATATTAATTTTGCAGAATCCATGAAAATTAATTCAAATGCAAGTGGATTCAAAGCAACCAAACAAACATTCAATACACGTGACTCCCTCAATAGTAACATTGACACTTCTTTGAATAATGTTCCTCATTCATTCACTCGAGATGATGGTATGTGTATTTTTTATACAGTTGTAAATTATCGTTATTCAAATGAATAGAGTTGGAACATAATAGTTTAAAAATATATAACATTATTCTTTTACAGATAATACGAAATATTTTAAGGAAATTATTCGCCAACAAAGCTTCTTCAAAACGCAATTGTGGCAAATGGCAGACGATTTAAGAGAAATAAAAGATATCGTAACCGGTAATCTTATGCAACAAAATAAGGATGTCAACAAGCAAAATGAAAAGTCAATTTATTTCTCGTTTGATTTACCGTTAAAGACGGTTGAAGAGATTGAAGGAGCCGTAGAGGAATTTTTAAAAATTTCAGAAAACTTTGAACGTTCGGTAATACATATATGTATATACAAATTATATATACTTTATAAAATACTTTGTAAAACAAGAATTGAATATTAGGTCTGTTTTTTTCAGCTAAATTGGCTGCACTAGTTCAGAGTTTATATCTTTCTTTCCAATGTGGAATAAAAATGATAAACTCTGAACTAGTGCAGTCAATGAACAGAAAAGAACAGATGATCTATTGTAATGTAATATATGAATTTTTGCAGACTATGGAAACACGTATAATAGGAGGCACATGTCCTTATAATTTTATTAAAAGAAATTTAAGCCGATTAATTACGAATGAACTTGCAGTCCAATATAGTTGGCTGGGTGCTAAGTTCAAAAGACAATTTTCCAATCTTCGAATAGCAGATATGTTATTAGGTGCAAAATGCATATTATTTCATATATATTTTTGTAATAGCATATAAATATATATATATATATATATATATATACATATACATATATATATATATATATATATATATATATACACATATATATATTTGTTTCAACTTTTAATGCAAAATTAATTTATTGAAGAAATAAATTCAATGATCTTCGCAAGTATACTAATCACTTATTCTGTTGCAGCTGCAGGTACTGCATATTGTGATTCTTACACTAAATTGGAATTGGAAAAAGCAATCCAAAAATGGTTGAGGAGGGCAAAAGAACGATGTAATACGAAAAAAAAAATTGAAACATGCGAAAGTAATTAATTAGAAAGTAATTATTATAGTCCTTTGTTTCTTATAATTTTATCTGACGTTATTTTTCTTATATTTGACATTGTTTTTTAGAGTTTATTAACATGTTTGTCTTATTATAAAAATAATATATAAACATATATAAAGATATATATAATATAATTTATAAGTTCGAACTGTAATATAATTTATAAGTTCAAACTATAATTTGATTACATATAATTTATAAGTTCAAACTGTATAAGTTTAATGTGATTCTGCGATGTGTGCTTTAAAAGTCCAAACTGACAATTAAATAATATTGGTATTTGTATTTTATAAATATATATAAAAGTATTTTATAAATATATATAAATAATTAATTTTACATTTCAAACTTTTATTACTCATTAATCTCACCTTTATAAAGTTTTAAATATTTATTTCAACAATAATTATAATGGTAAGGGCACTGAAAATGATATCCATTTTAGATCCGTTTTTGGTTTGTTTTTTGGACATCCGAAGTAGTGAATAATGGACGTCTTATGGACGTCCAATGGATATCCGTCGGACTTAATTCAGACATCTTATGGACGTCCACATGTCCAAACTCGAATGTCCATTGGACGTCCATAGGAGTTCCATGTGCTATCTGGGAAGTTCATCAACTTTTATACCATTATCTACAAAATGTAAATATTTAAATGTGCAATAAAATATTTTTTGAGACCCCATAACAAGGTTATCTCTAAAAAAGATTAATATATCAATATAAGTATACGTAGTTAACTTCTATGTAATAAATAGATATATTATTAACTTTATCAATAAATAGATATATTATTAATTTTATCAATAAATAGATTTATTAAATGTCCTATATTTTTTAAATTTATATCTGAAAATGGATTTTATATTTGATAAAGATTTATAATTATTTCAATATACGAGAAATAAAAAATAGAGAAAAAATTTTTGAAAATTTTTCATTAACATAACCGGTTAAATATGTATAATATAACGAATAAGATATGTAAAAAAATACTAATATCAACATAAATTAAATAAACTTATGTAATTGAATCTATCTAATATGATAGATTATATTATATCTATTATATTATATCTATCTAATATGTGATTATAGTAACACTAATCTTAGAAACTTAATGATAATTGCTTTTTTACTTACTGAAACGCCGATCCGTATTGCTCGAGATTCCAGCTTCTTAATACGTCTTTAATAATTTTATTATTATAATTATGTTATTATCTACCATAATTATACGAAAATTTTTCGAATACTTTTTCGAAGAATAATACTTCACAATAATAAACACAATTTCTCCACAATTTCACCACAATTTTATAAAATTACGTGATTTCACCAAACACGTGTTACTGCGTATTGCGTGCTGAACCGACTCGGACTTGCAACGGCACGCGTGACTAGTGAACGCACGATGCGCAATTGTCAAAGGAGATAGACAGATTAGGCGCGTTATACAAACTATATTAAGTATCAGGATTATATATTCATTTGTCTTTTGCTGCTAGTATTTTCTGTGTACTACAGCCAAACTTTATAACAAGTATGATTGATCATAACATGGATAGACACCACAGAAAAACTTTCTTTCTAAATTTCATAAACAGTTCAGATATAAATTCTGTCTCTATCATTCAGATTGATTGCGTGCAACATATATACGATATTACGGACTTCCGTTTCCGGCGCAGTAGAGTATAGACGTGTGGTAGAAAGTGGGAAGGAGATAATAAAGATTGTGCGAGTAAGGAGAGAGGAGAGTGCGAGAGGAGTGTGGGGTGAGAGTGAGAGAGGTCGCAGAGTGCGGGGGAGTGAGGGAAAGAGGAGGGTGCGAAGGTGGAGGAGTAGAGGAGGTATTGAAAATAGTGCTTTGACGGTTGGACACAGAGCATAGAGTAGGGAAGGAGTAGAGGTGCGAACGTGTAGGTATTAGAGTCGAGAATCGAAGCGGGAGTGAGAATCGAGAATCGAGAGTCGAGAGTCGAGAGTTGAGTCTAGGGACCTAGGTGGAGAGATAGGAGATCGTGATTGGTCAGGGGAGTAGAGATCGAAGTATATTTACAATTAGTAACTAATAAATAAATAAATAAATAAATAAATAAATAAACAAATAAATAAGGTAGAATGGAAGGAAGGAAGAGTGTGGGGGGTTTGGAAAGATTTAGGAGCGCGAGTGCAAGTGAGGCTGAGAGCGTAGGGAGTATCGAAGACTGGGTGAAAAAGAGAAAGAGAGAGGAGGAGGGGGAGGAAGGAAAGCAGATAGATATATCGATTAAGAGTAAGAAAACGCCGAGATCACCGGTGGCAGGCAGGAAAGGAAATATAAGGGAAGGGGGGAGTAGTAGCGGAGCAGAAAAAAGGGAGTTGGGGGGAGGGGGGTTAGAGAAAGCAATGTGGGAATGGAAAGAGGAGATGAGGACGATGATGGAAGGGACGATGAGGAAAGTAATGGAGCAAATAGGAGAACAGGGAAGAATTATGGAAGAAATAAGAAAGGAGTTAAGAGAACAGGACAAAAAATGGAGGAATGAGGTAGACAGATGGACAGAACATAGTAAGGGACTGGAGAAGCGAATAATCGAACTAGAGAGGGAAAAGGGAGTGGATAGAAAGGAGGGGGGAAGAGAGGGAAATGTAAAGGGAAAAACGGAAGTAGAGATGAGAGTGAAGGAGTTGGAGAAACAGATAGAAAGGAAAGAGAGGAAGGATAGGAAGAAAAATCTGATAATAAGAGGGATGGAGGTGAGTGAGGGAGGGGGGAGGGAGGCGGTGGAGAAAGTATTCGATAGAATAGGGGTTAAGGCAACGATAGAGGAGGTGAGGAAATTAGGAAGGGGTGAAGGAGCAAACGAGACAATATGGGTGAGACTGAAGGATGAGGAACAGAGAATGGAGATAATGAGCAGAAAGAATAAACTGAGGGGTAGGAAGGAGAGGATCATAGAGGACTGGACATGGAAAGAGAGGAAGATGAGATGGAGGTTAGAGGAGATAGCAGGGAAAGAGATGAGAAGAGGTAGGAAAGTATGGATAGGATATGGAAAAATAAGGATAGAAGAGAAATGGTGGAGGTGGGATGAAGAAGAGGAGGTGTTAGTAGACGGGAGAGGAGCAATTAGAGAAGAAGACGAAGGAGAAAAGGAAAAAATATAGAGGGAAAATAGTGTAGAGAGAGGAAAGAATAATAAAGAAAATAAAAAGGGAAGGAGTAAGAGCAGGGGAGATAATAAGGAGATAAATAGGAAGAAAGAGAGAGAGAAAGAGGCATGGACTGTGGCCTTTTGGAATGTAGCTGGGTTGAAGAATAAAGATAAGGAATTTTGGGAAAAACTAGGAAGGTGGGAGGTCTTGATCTTGATAGAGACGTGGTTAGAGGAAAAGGAGTGGGAGAGGATGAGAGCTAGATTACCAAAGGGTTACAAATGGGGGGGGGGGGCAATGGGCAAGGAAAGAAGGAAAAAGAGGGAGAGCCAAGGGAGAGTTAATTATGGGCGTTAAAAAGGGTCTGGCAGAAGGAGGGGAGATTAGAGTGGAAACAGAGGGGGTGGTTGTGGGAGAGATTAGGCACGGGAATGAGAAATGGAGAATAATAGGGGTGTATGTGGATAACGGAATAGAGGAGATGACGAGGAAGGTAGAGAGGTATAATGATAGAAGAGAGGTTGGGAAGCTGCTGGTAGGAGGAGATTTTAACGCAAGGATAGGAAGGGAAGGTGGGGGAGTGGAGGAGGAAAACGGGGGGAGAAGAGAAAGAAACGCGAAGGATGAAATAATAAATGCGGAGGGTAAGAGACTGGTAGAGTGGATGGAGGAAAATGGATGGGGGGTATTCAATGGTTGTACGAAAGGAGATGAAAACGGGGAATACACTTTTACGGGGGGGAAGGGAAATATGACGATAGATTATGTAATGGGGGGGGAAGAAACTAGGCGGGAAATAGATAGTTTGAGAGTGGGGGACAGGATTGATTCGGATCATCACCCGATAGAGATACAGATAGGAGGGAGAAGAGAAAGAGAAAATAAGGAAAAGATAAAGAAAAAAGAATGGAGGGGTATATGGGATAAGGAAGGAAGGAATGATTTCATACAGAAGATAGGCGAGTTAGAAGAGTTGAAGTCAGGGAACTTGGAGGAGCAATGGGGAGAGATGGAAAGAAAGGTGAAAAGGGCTTTGAGGGAGGTGGAGGAAGGGAGGGAGGAAGAGATGAAGGGGAGGCGTCAAAAAGGATGATGGGACGAAGAGTGTAGAGAGGAGAAAAAGAGAGCAAGAAGGTTGCTGAGGGACTGGAGGAGGAATAAGGTCCAGGAGGAGGAATACAAAAGGGGCAGGAAACGGTATAGAACTCTATGTGAGGAAAAGAGGAAGGAAGAAAATGAGAAATGGGAGAGGAAAGTAATGTCAGCTAGAAGGGAAAAAGATGTGTGGGAGATTGTAAATAGGGAGAGGAGAGGAAAACGAAGGGTAAACGAGAGCATAGAAATGGGGCAATGGAGGGAACATTTTATGAGGTTGTTGGGTGGGGTGGAAAGAAGGGTAGTCAAGGGAGTAGAGGGAGGTAGGGAGGAAGGGGAGGAGGAAAGAGAGATAGGGAGAGAGGAAGTGAGGAAGGCGATAAGAAGGCTAAAGGAAGGAAAAGCGAGCGGTATAGATGGATACCGGGTGAAGTCTGGAAATTCGGAGGGGAGGAGTTAGAGGGATGGATATGGGAATTCTGCAATAAAGTATGGAAGGGAGAAGGATGGCCAGAGGAGTGGAGGGAAGGGATCATAGTGCCACTGGTAAAAAAAGGGGAAGGAGAAAAAGTGGAGGAATATAGAGGGATCACGTTGCTCCCGACATTATACAAAGTGTATGTTATGGTCTTAGCAGAGAGATTAAAAGTAGAAATAGAAAGGAAAGGGATAATACCACAGAACCAAACAGGCTTTAGGAAAGGGATGGGAACAATAGACAACATATATGTTATAAATTACCTGATAAATAGACAATTAGGAAGGAAAGGAGGGAAAATGGTAGGGTTATTTGTTGACTTAAAGGCGGCATTTGACTCAGTAGATAGAGAAGTGTTGATAGAGGCGTTGAGGGAAAGAGGCGTAAGGGAGGGAATAACGAAGAGGGTGGAGCAGTTGTTGAGAGAGACGAAGAGCAGAGTGAGGGTGGGGGGAGAGATAGGAGATTGCTTCTGGACAGCGAGAGGAGTGAGGCAGGGATGTCCGATTAGTCCAACATTATTCAATGTACTTCTGGCGGATATAGAGGAAAGGATGGGAAAGGTTAAATGGGGAGGAATACGGTTAGGAGGGGACAGGGTGTATACGTTATCGTATGCGGATGACATGGTGCTGATGGCGGAAAATGAGGAGGAAATGAGAAGTTTGTTGGATAGGCTGGAGGGATACTTGGAAATGAAAAGGCTAGAGTTAAATCCTGAGAAAACTAAAATAGTAAGGTTTAAAAGAGGAGGGGGTAGGGAGAGGAAAGTAGAGTGGAGGTGGAAGGGAAGGAGGATAGAGGAAGTGAAAGAAATTAAATATCTAGGATATGTGTTACAGAAGAATGGGGGACAGGAGGCGCAAGTTAGAGACAGAAGGAAGAAGGCAGCAGCTATAATGGGGCAGGTATGGGGAATCGGCAAAAGGAGGTTTGGTAAAGACTGGGGGAAGAGACTTTTGTAGGTTGTTTGACAGATTAGTGTGGTCGGTAATGGAATATGGGGTAGAGATATGGGGATGGAAAGAGAGAGAAGAGCATGAGAAATTGGAAGAGAGATATTTGAGGTGGGTACTGGGGGTCGAGAGTGGGACGCCATGGTACCTTATAAGGGAGGAACTACAGAGAGTGAAATTAAAAGTGAGGGCGGGAAGAAGGGCATGGGGGTATGAAAGGAGATTGATGAAAGGAAGGGGCAGTATGATAGCGCGGAAATGTTGGGAGGAGATGAAGGAGAGAAGCATGAAGGGAAGGGAGGAATCGGGATGGGAAAAAGAGAGAAGAATGTTTTTTGAAGGGATAGGGGTAGGTAGAGAAGGAATAGAAGAAAAGATAAGAAAGGTGGAAGAGGGTGAAGAATGGGAAGGGGAATGGGAGAGAGAGGAGAGAGAAAGACAAAGAGAGATAAGATGGGAGGAGATAGGTAAGTCGAGATATAATAAATGGTACAGAGAAATAAAGGAGAAGCAGAAAGGGTTACCGGAGTATTTAAAGAAGGGATGGAGAGAGGAAAGGTGGTCGAGGGTAGCAAGGTTTAGACTGGGGAATGAAGTGGAGGAAAGAAAATATTGGGAGGAGGATAGTAAGAAAATGTGTAGACTATGTGGAGGTGAGGTCGAATCATGGGAACATATTTGGGAGAGATGTAGGAAATGGACAGATAAGGAGGAAAGTTGGCAGGAAGCGGTGAGACGGGTGCTGGGAGAGGAGGGAGAAGGGGAAGGATGGATGAAGCTGATAGAAGAGGAAAGGAAGGGGGGAGCTAGTGGGGGGAGCAAGGACGAGGAGGAATAGAAAAGGGAGTAGAGGAGATGGAGAGAGAGTGCAGGAGTGGGAGTGAGGGAGAGGAATGGTATGAGAGAGAGAAGGAAAGAGTGAGAGGGTGAAAAGGAGAATGAATGTTGTGGTGGGGGCAGGAAGTTGAAGGAGAGGGAGAAGAGAGAGAAAAAAAGGAAAGTAAGGCGAGAGGAAACGGAAGTCGAGGGGGGTTTAATGCGTGTGTGTGTGTGGACGGGGGGGATGAGGAGGAGGGAGGCTGACTCAGCCTCCGCGCCGATTCATCCCCCTTGCGCGATCTGGGGAGATGTTAGGGTGAAGTTAGGGTTGCGTTCTAGCAGTAAGAATTAGTTTTAAGTTGTGTATGTAATAGAGAAATGGTTGTTTTTGAAAGAAATGTGTAAAAGTTTTGGGTACGTTTCTCGAAAAACGCCTTGTAAACCGACAATGGTATACAATAAAGTGTCTATCTAATCTAATCTAATATACGATATTACAATATTTGCTAATCGTTTATCTGCCTCAGTTAATTTTTCGCACGTAGAAAATTTTTGCTATAGTTGCAAGATCATTTTTTTTGAGTGTATGATAAAGAATATTCTTTTAACCTTACCTGGAATATTTCAAACAAAAGTTTAGGACTTTAAGTAAGTAATACGCAATACATAATAATATTAGTATGACCTTGAATAGCGCCATCAATATACGCTATCATATAAAAATCATTTTGAATTTTTTAAATAGATTTTTTAAATAGAACTCCCTATTTCACATATTCTTGTAGCTTATCTCGACAGCTTTCTAAAATACTATAATTAAGTTATTTTTCATTCAGTACTTTTTAAATTATGAGGCTTGAAATAATTTCTCAAATTTACATAAACTATAAAATATCTCGCAAAATTTTCACTGTTTGATGATCTTACCTCGATACTTTTAAGCAAAAAATAATGAAATTCATTAGAATAAAAAAATACATAATCTTTAAGAAAAGATATGTAACTATTAATTACAAATTACTATTTTTTTTAAATAACTATGTATTTTTTTTACATCAATAAATTTCTCTCACTATTTTGTGCGTAAAAATATTGAGGTAAAATCATCGAATAGTGAATAATTTACGAAATATTTTATGGTTTAAATTTGAGAAATTATTTCAAACTTTATAATTCAAAAAATACTAAATGAAAAATAACTTAATTATAGTGTTTTGAAAAGCTCTCGAGGTTATAAGAATGTATAATGAAAAATAGGGGGTTCTATTTAAAAAATTCAAAATGATTTTTATGTGATTTTGACGGTGCTATTTAAGGTCATATTAATATTACTATGCAATGCGTAACTTAAAGTTCTACAACTTTTGTTTGAAACATTTTGAAAGTTTGAAAAATATACATTTTTCACTAAAATGTATATTTTTCGGGGTTCCAACTTTTTTTCTTCACCCTGTATATATTGTTACGCGCGCGCCCGAGTCGTTACGACCCTGCCGTTGTCCGAATCCCGTTGACAGGAAGATTGTTTGTCAACAATAACAGTCAGCTGAGTTTGGAGCCAGCTGTCAAGCTGAGCGGACGCGTATTTCTCACGAGCCGATCCGTGGTCTAATTATTCTGTGTTATCGTTCTGTGTTACCGTTTGTGTTGTTGTGTTGCCCATT